TGTAATTTCTAGCTATCTATCATTTAGTATCTAATTATTTCTTATTAGTATTTTAACCAGGCTAGCGAATGTTTATGTGTACGTTCAATTCAGTTACAACCTTTGCTGCCACCGTTGCTGCTTGCGAGCTAGCCATAGAAGTTGAGGCTGACGCTTTCCCCTCACGGTTCAGTCCACGTTTGCTCCGCCTATCACGTTAACCTAACCTAACCTAACCTAACCTAACTGGTCGCATGTATAACACTTGCTTTATTCATATGCCCACATTTACCAGTCCTGCTTTACTTTCGGACCCTAAATTTATCAGCGCGGCCTTCACCCTTTTAAATTCATTCGACGTATCTCATCACAGATCCACTCATAACACACAATTAAATTCAAGTCAACAAAAACAACAACGAATGATATTCTTCTCATTCAATTAAAGTATTTCAGCAATGAGGCACTTTTCGCCTCGATTTTAGGAACTTTGGACCACTTATACTTGCTATACGGATAGGGGGGCTTTTTATCTATTGTTACCTTTTCACCTACCGACTATGTTTTCCAACTAGTTGTTGGATTGTGCCGCTTGCATCTTGTATTGAGCTGTACATTTTTCTTAGAATCCTAGTAGACGAGGTTTCCTGCAGGCACTATGGGTCTATCATATCTATATGATAAGTGCGTACACCTTGCAACAGGCAAGTATTATAAGGGATATATATCACCATTTTTCTATAAACACTTATTTAACTCCTATACACATTCGACTCTAAGGCTCAGTTAAAACGGCAGTCATGTAGCGGAGAGCTAGTCGCCTCCTATCAAAATATCGGTAAAATTTATTGGGTGTGGTCTCCTGTATCGTATGCATTTTGTCTGCACTCAACAGTAAATATCGAATGTCCTTTGGGCTTCAGTGGCATAATTGTGTTTGATTTGAACAGTTGATGGACTGTTGTTAAATCAATTTAGAGCTTCCGTTCACAGAGGTAGTCACGTAGTTACTATGTAGGTATTCTATAGGAGGCCATACATACATACATCCTTCTCACTCAGTTTCCGCCGGTGTTGTTGTCAATTGTGTGTTGTTTTTCTCGGTTTTTCACAAACGCATGATACGCCGCAAGTTCCTTCGCTTCCTTTTTCTCATTGCGCTCTTTGAATCTCAGCCTGATAAAAAAAAAAAAAGACAACGGGAAAGTAAGAAGAAGGTAACAAAACAGAGCCTTTGCTAACATAGGGGAAAGAGCTATAACAGATCTCTGGTAACCTTAAGCTTTACTAGTCAAAAAAACAAACGACAGAAAATTTAATTAAATTAATTAATTTAATTAAGTACATAGGTCTAAAAATCTTTACCTATTGCTAATAATTCGCGTGACGATTTCGTGGGTTGTGACCGACGAACCGCTTTCCACCTGCAATTGGTATCATAAAACACTTCAGTCATGGATCTGCCTAGTCGACGTTTAGATATAGTGGAGTTGCCATCTGTACGACAGCCTCGATTATCTCACCGAAGAAAACCTTTTCAGAAATTTGCCTATTCGAAAATAAAAATACCTTAGTTAGCTTTGCTGCAATAGGACAATTCGATTTTATATTATGGCTCCTTTTTGCAGCCTGGTGCTCGTTAGTCTATTACGTATATGTGAATGCTAACCTGTACGAACTTTCCCTGTTTTCTGGGCTCTTCGTACGGATCGCGCCCATCGACGTCCGCCATAATATTCGTCGTACCATGAACGACTACCGACACCTGAAACGTTTAGCATCGTTTCTCACTCTTGCGGAATATGAAAAAAAAAAAAAAAAAAAAAAAAAAAAAAAAAAAACAGGAATTCACCTATAATTGAACCGATGCATCAAGACAAACTTACTCAATATCGTGCAAGTCAAAATTTTTCATGTAAGACCGATCTGTCTCTCTGGTAATTAGCTTTCTATGAATTTTAAATAAAGCACCAATCTGAGGAAGCGTATTACTAGTTATCAATACGCAGGTTTTGCCATTCGAAGCATCATGCATTGAAAGAAATATTACGTTCGAGGACGTGTATGCGCATCAGTTACCCGAAAATGTTCCATGAGGTCTTTTGAGACGTAATAAGGTGCACCAATCACAACTTCGTTAACAAATTTGCAGGCAAGCACCGACAGAACACGCTCATGAAGGTTCATTATAGGGTAGTTATATCCCTTGTACCTGAAAATGTTCCGAATAGCATTTGTTTTTTAATAGATAACACCTAATGCGAATGGGTACCATAGCTTGTTTCTTTCTTGCAACAAGCTTCTGCGCGAATGCGACAACGACAACATAGGTAAGCCTACCACGACGCGTTCTACTGAATTAAGTACTCCCTGCCCCGATTAGGAATAAAGCCATTGCAATGAATAACACAAGGATGCATAATTCAAATAAATCTTTCGAGTGCAACGTAGATTATAGCACTAAGACAATTTCACTAAAATTTCCCATCTTCCACTAGAGAGGAATCCCGCGATGACGTTCCAGGCAAGATCAAGACACTGAAGACTGATACCTCAGTAAAAATGAGACTTTCTTGACAAAGCATCTTTTCATCTGAGGTTTTCTTACAAGCACATCGTGCCGATCGTATCTATTTTGAACATTCAGTTGTCATTTACCAGACGAAGAACCATGTACCATAAATCTATTAGTAGCACTAAATCTAACCTGTTAACAATAGGATCTGTGTGCAGACCAACAATGAGGTAATCGCCTAGCTTTTTAGCTCGTTCTAAAAATTCAACGTAGCCGACATGAAAGAGATCGAAGGCGCCCGCTGTGTAGACGATTTTGTCCGTCGGCTGTAAAGTAAAACGTTACGAACCAATTTAAAGTAAATAGCTCAGAACACTCCGGTGGTCTACGTTTGACTCACGAGTTATATACTGAAATATTTTGCAGAATTGACGCTTAATGCATTTATTCGTGTCTGTTTGGCAAAAAATTTCAATAACAGAGTAGTGCAACTAGTAAACAAATGCTTATTTCTAGCGAAGACGTGCCCAAATATAGTCTGAACTCTCTTGTTCACAGTTAACTGAAAAAAACAACCCGTGTAGGAGGCCGATATACAACCTTTAGAAAGAATTAAGGATTTTAATAACAAACCTTTGGTTCTTTTCCTTCCGAAAACTGAATGATCTTCTGAGTAGTAGGTAAAAACTGTGATATTCCTGTCCACGGGCTGTGGGTTGACGAATCCTAGATAGAAAGTTTTAGAAAAAAAAATCTATATTCAAAGCCATACTACACAGACCTATTTCAGTGTTGCATTCCCACTTCTGAAAGAAATATACGAGTGTGAAGGAAGTATAGCGTTAAGTTCGTGGAACCCATATTCAAGTAGATTTATGATAATTACACGTTTAACACACTTACAAATAGTATTTACGCTTTAAAAACCAGGGTAAACCTCTTAGATCGAAATGGCTATCACACAACACAAAGTATCAAGTCGATCAGAAAGTACCTATATTGTTAGCGTACTTGTTAACGTAATTACTGTTAAGTTCTGCGAGAAACTAACTTCCCTTGTTAAAGCTTTGTTTGCTTTCGGTTGTCTTGCTCCACTGTCTAGACAGCAGACGGTTTTTCGTTGAATGAAGGGGATATCCATAAAGGTGATCTAATCAAAAGACAGTTTTCTCTCTCTTCTCGAGCTTCTTGTTCTTCATGCCATACTGCGTGAATTCGATGAGGCAAGTTCTGGGCTATAATAAGAAGGGTGCTGAAGAGTTTGTTGTGAATGTGTTCCCTCTTCTACGTCGCCGAAGACACGCGAGGTCTGGTGTTGTCGTGCAATAAGATCTACTTGTGTCTCCTTCTGCCTGTGCAGGGCAAAATCAAGTTCATAACTCAGTTGGACGGCTTGAGTCGAGTTACTGTTTGCGTTCTGCGTTTATATAGAAGGGTAGCCACTTGAAATCTTCGAAAGTGTCGACATGCTGACGTATCAGAAATATATCCTGCTGAAAAATTCTTCTTCTTTCATTTTTTTATTGCATGAATAATAATATCCATACTTATGTTTAAGTAGTTGGCAATAGTACCTTCACCGACTTGACGCTAGACCCACCCGCCTTTAAAATTCTTCTTGCCTTTAAAATTTTGCTGCCTTATAGATTGACGATAGCGCATCAGTTAACACACAGATGAACGAAGATTCTTGGGATAACTGAGCCAATGGTTCACGCAAAAAAACCTGTACTTCATCGTCATCCTCTTCACGTCTCGTGGCCGTCCGAGGCATGCTCTGGGGTTCAAAATAAACATTTTTGCCTTTAAAATGTTTTCGGCAAACAATGGCAAAAAGTACTATGACACTTGGTGCCCGCACCAAATTCAAACATTGCAATAGAAGCAGCACAGAAGAAGGGTGCCAAGTTCCAAACCGAACTGATTACTGGAATGTGTTGTTTAGAAGGTGCAGAGATCACGCGCTGCCCGAGAAGTTGCAGACCTATCCATAAGAGGAGAGTTCTCTTGAACAACCATTTTCTCTCTGGTAACACCCAAAATATCCCTCCACAAAGACTGGAACCGAAATTACTAGCTATATTTGCCGGTAACGAGAAACGGGTTAATGAATATCAAACTTGAAAGCGCCTCACGTATTTCCTGTTCGACTTGCCCCTGCTGTTTGAAAACCTGCGTATTGTTACTTCTATTATTATTAGTATTATTATTATTAGTATTGCTTTGAGCTTCTAGCAACAAAAGACCAACTTTAAGAACGGAAAGGAAAAGTCCACGGAGATTGATGGCGATTCCTTCTATATCGACACGAGGAGAATGAGCGAATGGAAAGGTACGAGTCATCAAAACCCGGTACTCGATCGAATTTTTCTTTGCCGAACATGCGGTCCACTAGAGATTATTGCTGTTATCCCATGACAGGAGCACATACTCCAGATGCGGTGCCAGTTGTGATAAATAGTATGCCCCTCGTTACGCTTTGGCATCATTTTTAAATCGTTCAATTTAAAGTTTTTATTTATATCATGCGAAGTATTTTAATGGTCCTATGTTCACCTTGACTTCACCATATTGTGTTGTTCGGCTGTATATATGAAGTGTTACTGCTACCAACAATTTGATTTTCAACTTATTACTTCCGTAACATGTCTGTGTGCATGATATACCATAATAATTAATCAACATTTTGTACTTAATCTGTAGTTTTTCTGTAGTTCGTGTAGGCTTAATTGAAAAATGACAATGTTTCACGCTGTTTAGCTAAAAACTGGAAATGTTAACAATCACCGGGGTGTTTATACAGCTTTTTTTTTGCACATATGCTCAATAAATAAACCTCACTCTAGGCCTACTTTTGCTAGGCCCTAAGGAAGCATGAGGAATATGGAAACAGGGCTACGCTCCAAAGGCTAAACTACTAAAAACTTAACTAAAGCTCTACAATGCAGCCTATGGCTACTCATTAGAAGCAGATCACTATTATATCATTCTGCCGTGTGCATTTCGGTGCAAACTTTCTCATTTTGATGGGTGACCCTAACATGCGTGCTACATTCATTAAAGTGTTTCTAGCCCAGAAATGTTTTATTGAAAAACATCTATTAAAATCTTCATGGCTAAACGTTCCCCAGTGGTAAATTGATCAACTCAAAGCGAGATTTCTTATGGGGGAAATCCTGTTGCGTCCTAATGTATGACCTCATAAGAAAACGAATCTTGGACGACATTTCAAAAATGCAACAGCGCGAATTTATACAAAGCTGATGGGCAGTTGGACATACCGCTTCAAAGAAAGATTACAAATTCAAGGGACACTATTACTTACATGTGAGGGCGTGCTGGCCTTCTCGTCCTGTGTGTTGTTTCGTGAAGTTGGTATTTCCACAAACTGAAACCGTGCGGGACGATAACATCAACGTGCTCATTCATTCAAGAACTATTCGCCTGATATCACATGCACCTTAATTTCAAATCCTTAGACTTGGAATCCCTGTGATACTGGAAATGTACACACCTATCATCAAGTCTGGCTTCTATTTGGGGGACGAGAAAAGACGCTTATGTTGATTAAAGCGTCATCAAAAGCTTCTTCGTATATCTTTTCCCTACACCACGTCCCCTCACCTTCCAACCTATCCCTTCTTATTGGTTCCAATACCTCTACTAAAAACCGCGTTCAATTCTGGGTGTGCACGGGTGGGGTGTTAGCCCACCTAAATTCAGCCCCACCAAAACTCCGTAACGTAGAATTTATATTTCGTACAACTGTTTTGATTGATACAGCGCTCTACGAATACGCCGCCGACGTCAACGCTCAAAACGTTATACTCAAATAGCGAAAACTAGCAACAGAGTGGACGGTTTATTTACACACACTTCGTTTCTTGAACCCGAAAGGCTAGTTTTGAATTAGGCAATTATGAAACAGGCACAAGGTTTATTTTTATTCTACGTCCACGTCGACTGTTCTCTCAACTGTTTCAAAATAATAAATTTTAGAGAATTTTCACTTTGTTATATATAGATGCCTTCAAGAAGTCCGAATCAGCAGGTGATTAGAGAGGTGTTAAACTTTATGGAAGTCTAGCTAGCCATTGTTTTGTTGTGCAATTTTTGTTATTTTCATTTTTCGTAAATACTTCTTCTCCCAAGAACTATATGCAATTTAAATAAAAAAAAAAGTTAAACCTCGATTAAAATCATGAAGGGCGGATATATTGTTGGGTAAAGATTATGCTTCTATAGAAAAATCTATCCAGATTTTCGCTTGTTGTTCGGTTTATGCGTGTTTCTCTAAAAATACCTGTTGGAAGAGTAACACAATATTGTTCAGAGGGAAAATATTGATATCACCAAATTTCGTTGAATCTCTAAGGGGTCGCTAAGCCTTTCCCACGATTGCCGTTTAATTCATAATAATAATAATAATAAGATATCTATTAATTATTAAGCAGGTTACTTCCATCTAACGCCACTTCGTTGGCATCTGTTTTGTAGCACCTGTTAAAGAAAATTCAGGGAAATATATCAGAGGGTACTTATTAACGAGGCTTATACCTAACTGTTATCTAGAGTAAATAAAGCGCAAAAGGAATAAATCAGTTTACTTACGATGAAAAAAAGCTCAGCGAACTTTGCGAACCTGTTCTGCTGGCAACATTTCTGTTTACATAACCTAAAATCGAACTACGGTAAAACAGCACCGATAACTTTAAAGTATTTGTAAATTTAAGAAATCCTGAAAAATTCTTGAGTTGAGCCTAGCAGCGTAGACGTAGAAATTTTAAGCAGTATTAATAAGAAAAATATGTACAAACATCCCAACAGCATCCCTTCGATAGAATTATTTAATGATAACGTGCTTAACTTCATCGAGTGTTTTTGTTCATGCATTTACGCTAGCTTCGTACTAACCTAGTAAGCGATTGAATAGCTACACGACCATGCCTTTTAAAAGATTTCTCTCATATTCCCTCTGCATGCATCGATTGCACGATACATAGAACATGCGCACGCGCATTGTGTAATGGTGCAGAGGAACTAATATATTCACCAATTGTCTACTCTGTGCTTTTATAAATAGGTCTAAAACAAACGGTTCACACACACACACGAGAGACGATCAAAGGAGAAACATAATAGAAATGATTCGGCCGACAGGAACCGCAAATATTAGTAATATTTTAGCTTACTGCCTTTATACGAACAGATCGGGGTACGCCTGATGTAACACCTTCTCATGCTATAGGAATGTTACATTCTGTAAATGCTGTGACTAGATGAGATCGGTTTCGCTAACTCATGGAAATGCGCACACCGTGCCTTCAAAATTAAACCTAACGCTGTAATATTGTAGTCTCTATCAGGACCAGTACGTCAGATGGCGGACCTCGGAAGGACATGCTGATCAGTAAGCAGGACACGAACGAAGGGGACCTGACATGATATCTAGAGCTAAGTGCAACGATTATAAGGGCAAGAGTGTTTTATCAGCTTAAAGATACCTTTTCAATAGGCGAACGTGTGACGAGCTCTTCAGACAAGACTAGTTCGAGAACGGTACAACGATTTTTGACCAGTTTAGCTAAAATGCTATTGCTCATATTGAACCAACCGCAGCAGCTTAGCGCAGCAGTAAAAACGGAATGAACGAATTTTTGGTGACGTCGGTGCACTGTTGGCGAATTCGGTGGAAGCACAAATAACAACGTATTAACGAAATGTTGAAGTGATCAGCGAGCTAGGCCAGTTGTTCATTCGCTTGGCCCATATCGTGGTTGAGGATTTATATGATAAGGGCATGTACACTGCCTATGTAGGCCAAAAACTCTTACCCTCAAACAGATAGCAGAGGAACGTAAAAACTGCAGCTCGGCGCAGCGTGTAAAGATAATACGCCAAGTTCCAAACAAGTCGAGAAAATTATTACGTCTTTGTTTCCAAAACGTTCGGCGTTGGCCTACTAAAAAAATACTGAATACCTGTGTAACAGAAACAATAACAATTTTACTCCATTATGCAGAACCTTTAAACACGCTAGTGGGGCATCTCAAATACCTTAGTAGAATTTATCTAGTTTTTATTAGCCGGACAATTTTTGCAAGCAGCATAACTGCTTAGGTAACCCTATATGCATACCTAACAAGTGTCCTCAGCTGGGACCGTCGATGAGCAGAGAGAACTTGCAGCTCTACCATAACCGATAAGTTGTATATACGAATACTGAACATTCGAATTTATTGTGTAGAACGACAGCGACACAAAGCTATGGTACATTGCCAATCATATTTATGAAAATATGTTGTCATATTGTGTGTTAAAGGCCAATGCACACTACTGAAGTCTTTACATGTTCAAACTGCTCCTTCTCCGTTCAGTTACATTAAAAAAACTTACCTTACTTAAAAAACTTAGGTTAAACTAATAGGACGAGATGTCGTTAATGGCCGAACTACACTGGCGGGGGTAGGGCGATAATTTCCAGATCTATTACTGCCGCCGGCAGCGCTCACCAACGTCCTCAGTCTTTGTACAGTCGGCCGATTGGAAATTTTTTTTAAAGGGGGCTCCTCAATCTTACGTGTCGACTGGTGTTCTGCGAGTAGGTGAGGCCTTTTGATTTTCTATCCCCTGGATCTTACGAAAAGGTTCTGTATGACACCGCCCAGTGTAAGGATAGGAGCGTCGTTTTTCAATGCTAAGAGATGAAAGGCTACCTACACGTGAAAAATAATTCTCTAAATTTGTATTAACAAAAACGACCAAACTCGCTGGTGTAAAGTGAACGTCGAAGATTCTCGCGAGCATTTACGCGAAACGACGCTTATTGCTTAACCTTAGTTCGCGGGCAATTTGAAAAACGCGCCAATTTTACGCTTAGTTAACCCTACAGCTTGCGCGTTTCATTCCTAGTAAATGAAACCGATACTAATTCTACTGTCTACAGATAGTATTTGCTTGCTAGTTTTTTACGTACTGCTTAATTTTATCAGCACGAACGACTTATTTAACAGACCCTATTTCTATATTTCGTAGAGACAGCATATAAATGGGAGGGTTCCGACAGACTTGCTTTGCAAATGTTTGCTTAGAAGAAGAAAGGATATGTACGAGCTTGGCTGATGAGCTCATTTAAACGATCCTAACATTAGCCAAAAATGTCCATTACCAAGAAAGTCAACTATCGAAAACAAAGGCTTGAAGTAACATTAAAAAAAAGCAGTTTCGAAGGAATCATGACCGTTCAGTTTAGATTTCTCCCTCATTTACATATACGGAACATTCAAGTATCGAGGTATTCCTCACACAACAGATTTAAATCCTTAAACTGGGTAAAGTTCACCTCTTGAGACCCCCTAAGATGCTTCCAGGAGAATTTAATCTTTAATATTATCTAATGTAGCCCATAAATCCTCGATCTGTCCATTAGCATTTGGATTCACACTTAGCGAATCACATGCAGAATTCTATTGAAAATGCCACAGGAACTCTAGCCCCGCAAGTCATTTATTACAAACCCTTTATATATATATATATCATGGTATCAATGTATCTGAGAGCTCATTACATCAATCTGTGTTGGAGAACGAATACTTTTTAATAGATGTTATCAGTATACTAAAAACTGCATTGTCCCAATCTTTCTGCTACAAAGACAAATGTTCCTAGAGCGAATTATTCTAAGATCTAAGAGCATTCCACATAAAAAAAGCGTTTAGGTTTGGCCTGTATGGAATGAAAATCAGCTTAATCTGTTTTATTCTAGCCTAGCAGTCCTTTAATAGGTATGCACTCTTTAATGTCTTTCGATTAAATACAATTATTGCACGACCTTAGATTCGAAATTAAGATGTTTCCTACCTTCGATATATTTCCTGCATGTTCTTTGTCAACTCCATATTCTCTTGGTCCCAGATTATGATGTTGTTTAGTCATCAATAACATTCGACCAACGAGGTCTGTAGTGGAAACACCCGCTGTCCGACGACACTCACGATAACGCCCAGCCTGCTTTACGAAACGATATGTATCCTGACCAGACGCGTCCATCGTAAGATCATCTAAGGGGACACAAATTTACATTAGTTCCTTGTAGCAAAGGCAGTTTTTCTAATTTAGAGTTCATTTACTATGCAATACTATGCAATAATGGGTGTGCGTCTAACTTCGAATTTTTACTGAAGGACCGCGCCTGTAAACAGAACCTCAGAGAGACTACGACGTCAGTTGCCAATTGAAAAGACAAATTCGTCATACCAAGACTATACCGGTTATTGAAGAAGCAGAATCGGGTTCTTTTAGTACACAGCTGAAGGTTCACAACAGAACATACTATGAAGTTTGTACAGGAGTCAAAATACATTTTCGACAGTCCTGGCATCTTCTGCCTACCCCAGAGACTAAATTTCGCACAACAGAAATTACATCTGCTTGGATTATTTACAGATCCTATACCATCGAAATCCCTTTTAGGCCAAAAAAAATCAAGTGTGCATAAAAACATCAACCTTAGGAACTATTGCTGGCTTGCTTACGATTCAGAACGTGTATTCATTACAGGCAAAATCTACCTTTCAGAGAGTACACATATGTGACGTCCAGCCACGAAGACCTCACGCCTCCACATTTTCTCCAAAAGACAGAAAAACAAAATATACTCGCTTATTCTCGCTAGTAACACTCTTGATAGTATCAAAAAGACAATCTAGGGGTCTTAGAACTTGCATGTAAGTGATTTTTAGATGTAGGTGAAAGGACGTTGCATTGAATAGGTGTGTCTGTAAAGGACATCTCCGTCGAAAAATGTAAGCGGATTTATTATCTGTTTTAATTTATATACAAGATATAAATATAAACCAATCATGCCCAGGAGTCAATTTAGACGCACTACTCTGAAACTAGGTACGCGCTTATGTAGTGAATGATGTAATTTGCATTCTTCACCATAACAACCCTATAAAAACGAGCTGAATAAAAATAAAACGCATTTGAAAACTAAATTTAGAAATTACAAATCTAATATATATAAAATACCTACCACAACATTTAAAGCGCTGTACTATTCACTACAAGGACTCCTTGTTGAAGTGGCGACTCAACGTTTAAGAGGCAAAAAAAGTATGTACGACTTTGCGATAGACCTTTCCTGTAGTTCAAACTCTGGCATTTTATACTCTTACTTATGGAACTTTTTATCTACAGCAGTAGGCGAACAGACAGGGTTGTTTCGAATATACTTATTTAAAGAATCCAATAATAATCCTCAAATGGACTAGAAAACTAACCTCCATGCACGCAAAAGTCTGCCTGATATTTGTCCAGTGTTTCAACTGACGTAATATACGGTGCGCCTTCGACGACCTCATCCACCCATTTGATAGCTCGCACCATTTTATAACGTTCCTGCTCCGTAAATACGGGTGGACCCTTATGAGCGATGATCTCCTCTGTAAACAAATAATCGTATTTAGCGTTAACTTTGTATAAAAGGTGCATGTCAAACCTTGCTATAGCGAAGCAACCCTAACGAATTTAACTGGGCTTCCTATCCTAATGTGGAATTCGCCAATCTTCTCATTAACTGTTTTTTGACTTCAAATCAATTATTTTCCACATAGTTGCTCATATTGGCACTACGGAAGGTCATCACGGTGATATTCTTCACCGGCTCCCAGGCCTCTGTTTCAGCATGTCAATAATCGGCCATATCACAATACAAGCAGCATCATAGGGGCCTAAACGCTACCTCTGTAGTATCAACCAGCCTTTATTTCATACTGACTGTAAATACAGTTTTCTGTATCAGGTTTATTGTACTGGGGAGCGAACCTTCTTGTCTGACAGCCTTAAGCGAAGCAGGTATCCTAAATATTAAACACAAGTGGTCCTGATCTATTTGGTAAAACCTTCGCACAGAATGCCGATACATCAAAGAACGGATTTCCTACAGAAATACTTGAGCAAGGGATGCGCTTAATACGCAGCCTTACTCTAATAATAATAGTAAGCCTATTATTACTAAATATGATTTTTTGTTCAAATTCTGGAAGTATGTAATGCGTCCTGTGGACTACTTTAAATTGATAGAACGCCGCTGTAACATTTATTTCAAAGGGGCACTTTACTCAATATGTGGCGGGATTGTGTAAACCACTGTCTGTGGCCCTGGATTATTAGTTTTAAAAGAGCGTTAGTTTATAAGCAAACCAATTTTCCGACAAATATGGTAGCAAAACTATTTCGGACTCTTGCAAAAATCAGACTGTGTGTATCCTTCAAAACTCTTTGTATTATTAGGCCTGATTGATGATCGTTTTAGGGCAGATCCATAGAGCTAGCTCGTATCTGAAAAAAATCCTACTTGAGTTGTTATTATTAATTTAACGGCTGTATCAAAATAGTGCTGTAGCAAAAACCACTTTTTCATTGATAAAAAAAATATTTATTTTTTTTTTATCAATGAAAAATTAGGTTAGCCTATATTCTTGTTATTGTAAACACGATGGACACGTCGATAACGTTTTGCATGTCAGTAAAAATTAGCGTATAGGCATATACACTAGAATTTTTTCCTGTATATAAAAACGACACACAACGCCTGCATATTACCCTGGCATGAAATAACTGTATTACATTAAAATTTCTCGCAAACGTTGTAACAACGAGTTGTGTTAAGAACTCTATATAACGATCCTATTTACGAGCGGCGGAAACATTCTATTGGAGAGCAGTTCTATGATATACATTAGATGCCGCAGTAAAACTCAGTAAATAAACTGGAAGTAACGGAAAAATCCCAACGCTTGCTGATTATGCAGGCCCGCTGCCGTACTTTTCAATTTTTTCGTCCGTTCTATTCAAGCGGTCTCTTGATTCGAGTATAAATAGATTGTCGCTTAAATCGAGCTATAGTCAGTCTGTTGGACCTGTGTTACACAATAGCTGGCGAAAGGAAAAACACATTATGAAAATTATATCCTTTACCACTAGAAGCGAAATTGTTGAGTGGCAGCGTGGATAGCTCCATAGGCCGAGACCGACAAGGGCAGAGTTACCGGCCTACTCAGAGTACACATTTACTATATTCGTAGTGGTGTTTACTCGTTCAAAGATTACTCGATCTTTCCTCTTGAAGAAAGATAGCGTGCTTGTGCTTGCGTTATGGCTAATATTAGATAAAATCTTTCCAAAAGTGACGGACCCGGGACGCTCGTTTCAAACCTCTATTAATTCAGGTCCACCAAGCAATTCGCGTTAACAATTTACATCAGTAGAATGTAATTGGTATTGTTACGTAGTATACTTAGTCAAAGAGATGGAAATCACCTCCCAGTAGAATGAAAAAGACAAACGACGATCTCATGCAAAAATAACTTACTACGTTAACTATTATGTCGGACTAGAAAAAGTAAGTAATAATAGCATCTCTTTTAAAGTGATAACGAATAAAAAAGAAACCAAAAGCTTCAAGTCGCACCCCAACAGTGAGAACATAGATACCATTTCAATTATGGAACGTTAACGGAGAATATGCGTTATGTCTCTCTATATCACAACCTAATACATCGTCAGTTCCACTTTTTCGGATCGAAAAATTGATAAAATTTATGAGTAACTTGCATCCGCTTAACTTGAGCACGAAACACCTTTTTCGTAGGCAGATAATGGTCGTTTTGAAGGGACGACCGAACAAACGTCACTGGTATTTTCATTCATGAGCGTCAACGACAACGAAACTCTGGTGGAAGACAACGACGCAGCGAAATTTATAACGAATAAAAGAAAATACGTCTGAGTTGTGGGTGAGTGCGGAAGCGGAAAATCTGTGCAAAAACATTCGATCATTCGGGTGATGGCCACAGGGTGGGCAGGTGCATCACTGTGAACTGCACTAGATGAATAGATAGATGTATACAACAGATGGTAAGAGATAGCAAAATTAACCGGTGGCAATCGCTCGATATTCGATGGCGCCTGGCGGCTAGACGAGCCAGTTAAAGACGGATGAAAAGAAAAGACGTATAAAAGAAGGGACATTGAGGGGGCAGAGGGGAAAGAAATAGAGGACGACAAGGATATGATGATAATGATGCTGCTGATCGTTATACTCCTGAATAGAAGTGCTTCCTGTTACTCTTGTGCGATAGCCTTGATGACCCTTGAGAAATCTTTCCTCCCAAATCACTCATTTAGACGGCAATATCGGTTAGAAGGAATTGCCTGTTATGACGACAGACAAATCGTACTCAAGTGTAGTCTTCTATTGGCTCGAGTGTTGATGGTACTACGAAACTACCACACAAACCATTCCGAAACACTTCCGAAAACAAGGAACTCAAAACAGCAGACGAAAGAAGTCAACTTCACTGCAACATGTTTTTACTACAACTCAACAGAAGAATAGGACTTTTTAATACTGAAAAAGGCTTACAATAGCATAAAATCACTTTAGATCGCACCTATGTAACACCTACCGTCTGTGTGTACGCCGACAATAAGGTAATCCCCCATCGCTTTTGCCTGCCGCAATTGATTCGCATGTCCAAAATGTACCATGTCGTAGCTGTAAAGTTAAGGAAAACGACGACAATAACAAAGTTTGCAAAATTTCTCTTTATCACACGGCACGCAAATACACAAAGTCGTACCAGTCTGCAAATGGCTCCATCTTTTGGTCGCAAGTGCTACGTTCAGACGGTAAAAATACGCAATCAAGTAGGGAGCACAAATAATTAACCTTATTGACCAACATTCAGTTATTTTCGGAAGCAGTTCTAACATATCAGTTAACCGAATAACTGCTGTTCTGATCCTTTCTATGATGACCCATGACCATTTGTCATGTAACACTCGGGACAAAACTTTGAGACAAAATAGTGAGCAACCCAGTATCTGATTTTTCCATCTTCTGTGAATCCTTTTCCGTCTATCAGACTTTGCACTGATCTAACCGAATGAACTAACTGGTTACCTGAAGAAGCCGCTTCAAATAAATATAGTCTAAATAAATTTCCCTATAAAACAATTTATATGAAAGATGGTTTTTGCACCGTAAAACTTTGGTAGAGAAGAATGTTGTCATGCAGAAAAATCTTAACTTCTTAAAATACCCTTTCTCTTCAACTGAAATGTTCAGTTTAATTAGTTTATGTTTATAAAATAAGGCGGAGCGATTTCTTCATGCTTACAAAGCTCGAAACAAAGCGCTATCGGCCAAACGTGCAGATACATTTTCGTATCAAAAATATCTAGCTTTGCTTAAGATTCTTGATTCTGATTGTTCGGGGGCAAGCCAGGATGCTTCGCGCCAGAGATTCTTGTAAAAAATAAATTTGCAATTTAAAAGTAAACGTGGCACACAATGGTCCAATCGACGCCTATAGTGTCACCATTAAAACTATATGAGTAGGAAAAAACGGCTCCAACGCATCAGAACGCGTAAAGCGATCAATCCGAAGGCAAAAGACGGACCAAAATTTCGGTCTATCGATCTATCGGACTATCTATCGTATCGACTACCGAGGGTATTTAAAGAATAATCATTTGTCTACTTACTCCGTAACTAAATACAAAACAAACCTACGCATCATTTATAGGGCGTCCCGTAAGCTGGTATCGATAAAAGCTATATACTCTATAGCTTGGGATTATTTTCCAAATAAACTATTTGAATGTAATTTTTATCATCGAGCTTCGTTTAAACTTTTGGTTTCCCTCTTTCACCCAAATAGGCATTTATTAAATGCTCATCTCATTTTTGGACCAGAACATAAAACACATAGCTGCTGGGAGCGAGGCGGTTACGAATAGACCTTTTCGACCAAAATGGACTGAACACATGTCACCCACTACGCAGGGCCAACCATACGGTATGTTTATAAAAAGCTTGCATCTTCAATGGTTGAAGATGTCTTTAAATAGTTCTCTTTTGACTATATAAATTTTAATCTAAAAAAGATAAAGCTCGTGGAAACAATACAACTTAAAACCTGGTAGTTCACTTGGAGTTCCTCTAACTACGGTCTTATCCGGAAAATTATGACTTCCAGTAATTCTCTGGGAGATGAGCAATTCCATGCACGAAACTTCACTCCTAATACATGGCAATGCATTTTTGTAAAAAATGAATAATAGTAGAAATTCTAAAATCTACATTTTGATTGCCAACTTCATTTAAATGATTGAACGTTTATATTCCGTAATACTTACCAGCCATCACACCAAACCCGAACTGGTCGCTTTGGCTCCTGACTTTTTATTTGTTCTTTGTTCAACATGTTTCGCCGTTATTCCAGTCAATGTTGGCTCTCCCGGTTTGAGACTGAAAAGCAAATAGAAGACGTGCAGATTAAAGCACGATCGTCGTACCGATATCTACATCTATCTAAAGTACCCCTAATGACACACTGAATTAATACTGGCCAGTATAGAAAATGCCCCTTATCATCTCCAGTTCAGCGAACAGACCGTCTAAGAGGAACCAAAACGTGAATTAGGAGTACTTAATTTGTTGGGCACGAAGACAGATAAAAAAATACTCATAACTACTTTAAATAAGTTACCAGAAATAATCTAATTAACTACTGAATGAATACCACTAATGAATAACTGAGATTGCAATTTTGTTAAACGGGCACTTCGCAACATTTAGAAAGTTTGCCCTCATATATGTGGTAATACGTTTCGGCATGAAGCTATCACTGTGAAACACTGGGCGGTATCAATATTTAAACTATTTGACCCTGACATGTCATTCTGTGCCTATACCTTGCTGAGTTCATCTTTGTACTTACTCAGTCAACAAACATATATTATCTGTTAAGTGTTGCTGTTTGATTGATCAGAAAAAAAATGCGCCAATTGCAAAAAAAAGGTTACCGATGGAAATAGCCTGTTGACATCCACAAAAAAATATTTTCTTCAAAATGAAGAAACTCAGTTTTGCTACAGGCCCTCCCAGAACTTGTGAAATATCAACTTCTTATTGTAGCGCAAATTAATTTCAAGGGGTGAACAAAGTTAGGTGCTTACAGCTTTCAAAATTGGGTAACAAGCAAGACTTTTCAAATGCAATTGCCGCGGAAACTAAAACCATTACTACGATTCATTCGAGAGCTTGGGCCCCTGCGATGACTATGGAATCTCCGATATTATCACTGAGGGGCAACATCGTGATAGGCCGTCCGGACGAAATGAGATAACAGAGAAAACAACATACAACATACATCTCCTGCTCCGCCTACACCGAGCGCCTTCATTTTTTGACAGGCGTTTAAAACATGTCATACAGTGGTAATCATGAGCTGACAGTCAGTATGGAACGGTTTTTTTCTAGCGATTCCTCTACTTCATCTGCCTACGAGTAATCAACGAAAGATCAGCTGTCTTCTATTCACTTTCATCGTACATATGCAGCTGCTCGTGAAGATAGCGGAGAAGCGTTCCTGGGCACGATGCCAGAAATGAATTGCTTTTTAATAAGCTCTTTTCGCACAACCCCTAAACAGTTTGACGTGGTGGCTTAAGGAAGAGTGTTAATTTCCTCTTTGTGTTATAGTTTACAGAGGGTTACAAGGGTCTGGTTACAAGCCAAAAGTACCCATTGGCAAATATTTAGATAAGGCCGCTTCGCTTAAGTGGCGTTTCGTCTAATACCGCAATCGAATGATACACATGAATCACTCGATCACTTTTAGATGTTTTCTTACTTTGCTATTGCCCGTTTATCGTAATTGCTAACATCATAAGTTGAGCCAGCCTTGTGTCATAAAGAGAGATTCGAGGCGTATTTTTTAAATGGCCTGAGTATCAGCCCCAAAGTTTCGCGTTGACACATCCCTATAAGGACGTCGCGTATGAATCTGCAGCAGTTGTGGAACCAGCCTTTTGAAGCCTGAGATTCTTCTTTGAGAAAAGATTAAGAAAATGCAAATTGTTGGAAGTTGGCTGTTCAAAAATGCAACGTAAGCGAGTAAAAAATTTGCTTATTTTCCAAATAACTACAAACTCTTATAATCACTTTAAGTCCTTCCTGTATTATTCCATTTGGAATGAACAAACCTTCCAATGATCATTTGCTGGGTGATCGCTATCAGAAAGCCGACACACTAACATTATTTTTGTTATTATAACACACATATATAATCTGTGGTTTGTATGAACGCATGTGCGTTAATCAACTTTCTATAGTCGTCACCGTTTAACGAAGGTCTGTGCTCATAGTTTACGAATCGAAATAGTAGGCCGAGGTAGTAGAGATGTATTAGATAACAATACACAATACGGGAAGACGGATTATAGATATCCCACTATAATTTTTATTTTATTATAGATACATCGTTTGTTGCTATTGCAACTTTTGTGTATAGAAGCGTGGTTATTGGCACGCGCAACGTTAGAGAATATCGAGGGACAGTAAAACATCATCATAGGGATAACTAAGCACCTATATACTATTGAATAGCTCTTGTTACAGATCAACTCATTATCCAGTGGTGGTCACAATTCTACATCGGAGGCATAGACTACTGTTAAGAGAAAATATACGTAAAACTGAGAAGTTACTTAGCTGCGGCTACGAAAAAAGATGTTATTATTGAAACTTACCTATGGACACGTAGAATACACAATCTATTTCAGCAGATAAGAATTCAGCGCACAGCCATGATCGCCTTTTCGATTGATCGTGTGTCCGTAAATAAAGGTTACCAACATTGCGCAGTGGTAAAATATAAAGCGCTAAGTCTATCGACATCACTCAAGTATATCCATTGCGTAGAATATATGTCACAGAACACATCATTTAATCATAAATACCTATGATTAACAAGCACATCAACTATGCCGACAAGGATTTATTTTGTGAGCTCTCGTCAAACGTCGCCACGTAATTAGAATGGAACGAATATGTCTAAAGAAAATTATACTGTCCTCTGTCTACGGTATTTTTGAAGCTCGAATGTGAGTTGTTGCCAAACAGTGAAGCTGACTATTCAGGTCAATATTACCAACTAAAGCGTGATATAGGAACGCAAACTCACTAGTATTAATTGTTTCTATTCTGCGCACGATACAGATCAGCTGTTTTAAAGTAGCAGGTATTACAGGAGTACACGAGCGGACGCACTTCTAATAAGTAACAGCCAGCAGAAGACCGCGTGAACTCCAGCTGGACTCCGACGACGTCGTGTAAGCGTCGTTTTTTCTTTAAATCGAACACTGCTGGACGTGTTCCTTGATACCACGTGGCATTGCTTCAAAGTTCGTACAAGTACAATCGAGCTTGTTTCGAAAATATGCCTCCACCTAAAAGTGGAAAGGGTCGCTAATTGCTAGGAAAGAGGCGGAGTTCGCGCACGCGAGACGGCGATTGAGCGACCACCGAATGAGTAAAATCTAAATAAGACAGAGGAACCCAATTAGCGCATCTGCTTATCGGTTTTCCGCTCTTGATTGCATGAAGAACGCATGTCCGATTAAACATGTGGTAGTATTTTATAATGAACAGAGTTTCCAATTGATTCGTGTCCACGTAATGTTTGATTATTTTTTATCAACGTAGACTGATCCTTGGCCCGTCCGAATTGTTATCGATGATACGATTAGTGTCGATGGACCGCTCCAGTATAACTCTGTCGACATATCATTCCTATCAGGGTTGCTCCCTTCCTCTGCAAATTTTGGACATGAAAACTACAAGCCAACATTTACTCATCTATTGCTATTTGTATGGAAGAAACTGTCATCAAAAGTGCTGCAGAAAAGTACTATGACAGATTGCGGCAAATTATTTGATTTTATAAATGTAATAGTGGTGCCGGACTTGAAACCTAGTGCACGTGGCATCTGAGTCCCATGCATAGTTTAAATTCTGGGAAAATGAGTTGGGATAGGTTTTTAGAAAAGTATATCCACTTATTATAATAGAATGTGGAAAAAAAAGCAAGAAGAAAAAAATAAAGGTCTATTTCAAACGAGAAAAGGAAAACTATCGCCACTCAAGCCAATAGGAGAAGATTAAAGTTGTGTTTGTTGGTAGAAGGATTAATTGACCCGTGATAGCCTAGCTGGAAACGTATTTGTCTGCTAATCTTAAGGACAAGCTGTAGTCTGGGTTTGAATGGCTCGAGACACCGAAAAGTTTGCAATACTCTTGTATATGTTAAGCAACGACCTAAAAAATGTGTTCACGTCATCATTAGTTATACCTCCATATAAAGAAGGGTCTCTAGTTTATTAATTAAGCCCTCTTTGGGTAACTATGCGCTAGAGAGTAGTTTATAGAGGAAGCTATGGCTCTTAACCCAGGTATGTAAGCGGCATCTGGCAATAACTCTACAATCGCGTACGTAATTCACATCGTAAATAACCTATCACGCCTAGCAGCACTAAACACCACAACTATTACAACCCTATTACGCTCAAGGGTCGTGCTCGGATTTTTATTAATAACCTATAGGAACCTCTACTACAAGATGGCATTTTTCATTGTACTGTCTTATTGTCCACCCATTTATTGTCCTTCTAGGACACGATTTCCTTGGTAAATGTTCGACGTCTAGTGGTAAGAGTCCGCGTAGAATGCTTCAAAAAAAACAGAATCTTTTCTTCTCCTAGCTTTCTTCTTGGACTGAGGTGCAGAGATGTGCATTTGTGGGTGTGCATCTGACAAAATTAGGGTAATCGACGCTAATCCTTTGCTTTTTCTTAAATGGTAGAAGTACTTTACAGTGGAATCTCTTCAACATAACGGTGAAGTAAAAAAGGTCTTACCATCATATGTATTGTACATATTAAACTGAGGCTAGTAGAATTATAAAATAGGTACGAATGTTGGCTTTTACACTCAAATTAGGTTATTTACGGCAAACTGAACGAAGGTGAGGTAATGAAACCTCACAGCAGGATTGTTTTTTACGACACACCTTCTGCCTAATATCTGATCTCGAAATTAGGTTAGTTGTATCTAGTCAAACATGTATTATTTTAAAAATATACCTTTGGATTTATATATAAGACAACTTATCTTTAATAGACCTGACGCTACACGGAACAGTTAATCGAGTTCGCTTGGGCATCAGTATTTACTGGGGTTCACATAATACTACCAACAACATTTCATCCTGCATCTTCCGGCTTCGTTAATCATAGTACGACAAACTTTTATGCATTGTACCGTATAAGTGCTTTTTGGTATAAATCAGCTTTTTTTAAACGCCCACGAAGGCCTCTAAATTGAAATGCAGAGTCTCTGTATTACCCTAAGTTTTATGGCTGATTCTGGGCATTCATTGGAGCGAGAGCTAGGAATCGCGGAAATGGAATTTTAGTAACGCGATTTCAAAACCCAATGGGTTGAACAGTGTATAAGGTAAACATTTCCCAGAAAGACAACAACGAGAAGCAAACGAGGAACCATTACTTCAAAGCTTTGAAACGAAATTTCCTATAGTGAGTCATTTAGAAGCTCTTTTAAAATAGCCTTTAGTATGTTGTTTACGAAATAAGTGGAAAAGACAAAATAAAATATGAAATTAGAATACAGGTTACATCAACAAAAAAAAAAACTAATCTTATATAATTTTTGAAGAATGATGACCATCAAATGAATGGCTAAGAAATTAGTCAAAGCCACACTTTCGCAAAATAAATAATAAATATAATAAATAATAGAAGGCTTTAATGTGTACACTTCTCAGAAAACTCGTAGGATCCGGGCAGTCTGCTCAGTGAACATGATCCCCCCTTCGCTCGGACTATAAGAGGTATCATTGGAGGACGGCAGATTGCAAAATTTAGCCGCCATTATTATTCTAACGCTAACGAAAAGACCAACCAGGTGATAACATACCAGGTCATTGAATCGTTTTACTTGGGTATTTAACGCGAGCTGCCTCATTGTCCTAGGAAAAAATGCACAAGGCTAAAAGTCGGCCAAAATATATATCCATAAAACTAAAAAAAAACTATCACCAGCACTTGCTGGAGCAACATGAACGGCGCGAGCGATGCTTCAGCAAAGGAGTGGGCCTCCCGAACCATCCCTCTACTTAACCTTAAGGCTTCTAAACTATCTTTTGTTAATAGGAGTCCAGAGTCCACCGTATTTTGTCAGCCCAAGACGACCCTCTTATGGCTTTTTTGATTCAAGCGTGCTTCAATTGCAAAACTTTGTATATACTATATATGTAATAAGTTAGATTAAAAGTAACGTCCGCATTTCTAAGCTGTTCGCTTCCGTCTGTTTGTTTTTATCATTCGAGGACGATTGCCTCTTTTAATGTAACTTCGTTTTGTGCTTGCTCGAACTTTAGCTTTAGCTCACGTTCCGGAGCACCGTAGTGGAAAAAGATCACCATTATTCGACACTTTTCGGAAATCAAAAGGCTATCAAAGCAGGTGAAAGACGTTTTAGCGCGAGGACTGCGCGAAAAGAGGGCAACAATCTCATAACTAGCTAATAATTGAACAACATTGAGTAACTACAAGTTATATGGGCTGGTGTAAATAAGATTTTTATTTTATTATTTCATAATAATAATAATAATAATAATAATCGTATATTTAACATGTTTGCAGTTTTTGTTGTGCTGATTTCGTCTTGTGGTCTACACACGATGGTGGCGCAGCTTCTTTTCCCCTCTGTACGGCAGTAATCATCAATTTTATCAGTCGTTTAATTTTTTTCTCTATCATATAATTAATTCTATCGGTTGCGTATATATATTTTCCATTTCTCTAACACAATCGTCAGCGCACGACGAAAGGGCAGGTTTTCAGCTATTCCAACTCAGAAAATTTCAAATGAAGCTGCAGTGAAAACGCACCAGGACTAAACCCTAAAAACCACTGAGGAATTGGTGAAGAATAATATTAGTAAGATGGATATCGATGTATTCTCCTGTGAACTCATCGTGTAGCTGATTCCCATTAGTATTACCATATTCATAAAGTCGTCACTTCAGTGACGCAAGCTTTTATGTTTTTTCGACAATTTATGTAAGCATGGTTTTCGAATGAAGATATACGACAGTGAACCATATATGTGTGATAATTATGTTTGCGACGTAACTGCGTCGCGTAAATAATTTTCTCGTCTCGGGTTTTCTCCGTTGTAGAAACTTCAAAATTATCGTGCGTGTATATATATAATATAATATAGTAACGCGTAACACCTAGTAATAGCACTAATTAATATTGTCGTACGGTGCCCGTCAATATATCGGCGTTTTTACATTTCAATCAGATAATTTGATATCCCATCACTAATTATTGATTCATTGTCTTACTGTTACGTAAAATAACATAGAAAAAAAGGCCGCATTCATCACTAATGTGCGCTAATTCCTATTAAAGTGCATGGGTGTTATTCTAGCACAACACGCAACGAAAAGTGTAGCAACAATCGGCAAAGTTCTACGAGTAGCAGTTGTTGTTGTTGCATAGGGGGCATATTGCGCTTGGCATTTTACTTATGGTTATCCAAGCAAATGCCTTCCGTGGGTTAGTTGATCTACAGAACGCCTAACTGGCAGTGTTATTTAATTTTAAACAACTTTATGGAGATAACTTCGATCGACCAAATGACAGGAAAGCTAGGAATCTAGTGGAGCTTCACTGCTGCGCTACATTGAGCACAATTATTGCTTAAATATATTCTAAGTAGAGGAAAGTTACCGGCAAAAAATCGAATGTTTGCAGACTGATCAGTGTACGACGGTGTTCTTCACCGGCTGTCAAATAGACCGAAGCTCCGTTCGTTCGTATCGAACAATTGAATATTTAGTCTGATTTTCCTCGAGTTCATGAGCTTCTCGGCTCAAACCCGATAAAATTGCAATTCACTAACAACCAATGGTTGAATTAATGCTATGGAGGACCAGACTAGTACATTTCTACTACCAACGACATACTCTAATACAAGAATCATACTGTTATTTTCGATGGTTCATTTCCTTGTCAAAATTATACGGTGTATTTATTTAAGGTCACCATTCATAGTTAGGAAGTAGTTCATTGTATCTATAAATTCACTTAGCTAAATACGTGCTTATTGGTCACCTTTTGCTGATAGAAAATCCGAAATGGAACGGCCGATTTTGGTTTCAGGTACCAATGATTTTGCCCCAAACTACCAATCTTTTGCGCAACGCTTGTTTTTTTTTCCATTCACCACTTGCCATTTTCATAGAAGCTGTCCAGCGCGTGCACTTCGTGACACGCTGTCCTTAACCGAAAAGGACTATTAACTTTTCTTGATTCATGCTGAACACCATATGTGCAATGAAATTCGAAATGTATGTGTGTGTTTGTCGTTCATATATATATATACACATATATAATATATATATATATGTATATATATATATTGCATGGACACTTCTGGCTTTAGACTGTCTGCCTGCTTACTTTTTCACCTGAGTAGTTTCATTCATTGGCTAGCTCCGGGCTGGGCGTTTTGGGGTATCATCGATGGCGGATCGTACGGGGCAGTGCTAGTGGCGGACGGCGATACCCTCGTGACGGGGAAAAGGGGTGGCCCCCAAATAATGACAGTCTTATCTTCTCAGACTAAGGCCCACCCAGGCGTAGAAAAAATCAATCAAAACTGATTATTAAAAATTAAGGCAGAAGCATTTGGGCTGTTTGTTGTCGGGCGAATAGTAAACGGCACCCATACAGACGACGACGACGACAACTAGCGACACTCACGCGCTCCTTTTTGTGCGGCCCTGTGCCCTCCGTTGATTAATCAATCAAGCAAGCAACATGTAGCAATTCGTTTGTGTAGTATACAGTAGCAGTAGTAGTAGTAGTAGTAGTAGTAGTAGTAGTAGTAGTAGTAGTAGTAGTAGTAGTAGTAGTATATATATATATATATATATATATATATATATATATATATATATATATATATATCTATATATATTTATTCTCGTGACACAGAGCAAAAACAGTCTGTCCAATTTTACGTCGTTATCACATACTGCCACATTTCATGCCACAATATACTTATACTAATACTATTATTATTATAGTCGTCATTAACATTGTGCCCGCTATTGTTTGTTGTTTATTTTTTCCATTTATCATCATTATTACTGTTAAGGTAGGTAGAGCCAAGTGTCAAAGTCATTTTACAGCGCTTACGGCAACCAGCATATGGGAGCGACAGCAGTGACATGGTAACCGTAGTAGTGTTATTATATTGAGTGACAGTGGAAGTGGCTGTATATCGATCTGGCCATCTGGGTCCATGCTGTTTGTCGTCGAATTGAATGTTCAAAGTACAAAATAAACAAATTTACCACTGAAAATAACATACAATAGGGTTGCTGCCACTACTAGGATAAATGATGGCGACTTTTTGTTACCGTTGAGAAATGAGGGTTTTTTTCGCACTTTCGTGCGTTTTTAATTACCAATCATCATCGGTCATAATTGCTATAATCTTCACAGTTGCCATCCTCTCTCGCTGCTTCAGTTGCTGATAAGATGATGATGAGGTACCTCCTTGTCTCTTTTTGTCGTTCAACACTCCCTTTTTCCTTCCGTACTGTGCCTTGGTCAGGCAGAAAGGATTAATTTTACAGGGCCTACTTGTCTGCCACACGCTTAAGTGGCTGGCCTAGCCGTCAAATTAAAGCATCCATATTCATACATACGTATTACTACTCCCATAGTTGTGTCCCATTTATCTTTTTTTCGGGTATTTTTGCCTTGTTCTCACAACTTTGTCGTGTCCCACCATTATTACCAACCGCATCTGTGTTGTGGTTTAAGAAAGAACGCGTACCACCTTCGTGTTTTTGTTTCTAGCAGCAGCATCGTTAGAATGGTAGCATTGTAGCACGCGCACACACACACACACACACACACACACACACACACAAAAAACTTCGGTGTAATTGACACGTTGGCTTACGTGTTGTTGTAGCCATCAGCAGGATTATCAGTAACGCTACTGTCGCCACCGTCATAAAAGTAGAATAAGACCCATTCTTGCCAGTGTATCTACCTCCTTTCATTTTCTTTGTGTTTTAATTGTCGTGTTCTGTCGTTTTTCTGCAAACTTGCACCTGTTCTTTGAACTTTCTGCGCCGCCTTCGAGTCCCAGATTGAAAAGGAAGCATTGGCGGTTTCGTTATATGATCATCGCTTCCGCTTTCCCTGTGTCCGTGCGTCCGGCTGTTGTACTGCTGTTCTCTACGACAACTGATTCAAGAGAAGGGGTTCACTATTTCGGCAACGCTGTTTCGCCTCTTGTTGTTGCGCTGATACCATGATGCCCAGTCGTTCATTTTAGCAATTTGTCTTCTCCAGATTCGGCCTCCTTTATCGAGTTCTACACTCAGCCAAATGATCTAAGCGGTTTCTTCTTTGGGCGTTTTGCTACTCTTCTTTTTGAAGAACGAGGCTGTGCTCAGGCCCCCGGACTTCTTTTTTTTCTTCTTCTCGCTTTTCGATGGAGAACTCACCTACGTACATATACATTTGATAGAAAGATTAGTACACCAGTTAGGTTTCAGCCCATCAAAGTTTAAAGAACGTTTCGCGTCGACTGCTGTTTTTTAGACAAACCAAGACAAGCGCGTAATAAGTACCGGAATTTAAAGGTTATACTCAATGTTATCAAGTATGTTTCGTCTTTCCCGAATATTGAAAAACATCTACACTTAGTTATCTTTGGAGGAACGCAAGTTGACAGACAACCGTCGATAAGGCAAACAAAGTAAATCTACCCTGAATACGTAATCGATAATATTATAAGATGTACGTATTATTGCAATTTGTATGCCAGTACAGGCTAGTTCGCGCAACGAACACAGGGTGCTTCAACAGGTATTTTGTTGGTAGTTTAGTGCGGTGTTTTTAATTAGTTTCGCATGCATGTACTCACCGATTCGCTAACCTCTTTGCTTGAGAGTGATTTTGATTCATCTCCACTTTTTTCGTTTTCCTTGTCCTGATCCTTTCCGCCTGTATCGATCGCAGCAGGAACCAGACATTGTCGCAGGGATCAGAAAAGGTGGCAACCAAATTCAATCATTAATTAAATGTTACGTGTTTACCCAAGCCCGGCCGTTGTAACAATGAAATATGTCGAAAGAGCACAATTCCCTAACACTGCATATTTCGAAATAATTCGTTGTAGGTTCAGTTGTAAACAATGTGTGCGTGGGTATACGAATTTGATTTACACCCAGCTATAGGTTGCATCATATCTTTCGGTTAATTGTCGATCCGTTTATATAATCATCGGTAAATCAGCCTTGTATCAGTATCTATTATTTTTGATGCTACCAGGTTAATATTGTTGCCGCTATTTAATGCGCAACAAACTATCTACGTTTACTTAATTACAGAGGAGAAAGGAAAATGGCAAGCATAAACATAACAAAATACCAATGGAGGATCATCGACAGTAACTAGGTTAACTTCAGCAATTACTAATACACTACGACTGCAAATATATACATATATATATATATATATATATATATATATATATATATATATATATATATATATATGACTTACGAGCTTGTACCGAAGCTAGTACATTCGCTAACCCGTTTTGTCTAACTATATACGTACATATCCGTCATATATATATGTAGTCAAGCCATTCTGTAACTGCGAGAAGGGATGCATGATCGGGGGTGTAGCTTTGGGGCTATGGAGGCGAGCAATTCTTCAATGCATCTTTTATTAATCGCAAAACTAACAGGGTTTTGCTTAGTCAAATCTCAAACGTAGCTTTCAATGTCGCTAATGTTTATCATCTTTATCCTGAGATGAGACATGAAACAAGATGAAATTTTACTGAGCTGTACTAATAAATTTTCGACTCGATTCCTTCTCCATGATTGGACATGGAATAAAAAAATTATAATTATCTCAGGATTTCTCAAAGAACATGGGTCTCTGAAGAATGGTACGTTCTCTGAAAAGTGAACAACTACGACCGACCGTTAATACTTCGAAAGCTTGGAGGAAGTACTCAGCCAATACTACCAAGTTGAAGCCGTGACTGATAATGTTTTTACTTGCAGATACTATAGCTATGTAGATCTAATCTTAACGTTGAGCTAATCTTGTTGTATCAGTCGACAACTGCGTGCACTAGGACTACGTAATTATCTAGATAGAGCATCGCATGTCCGTGAATGTGTTAACGATGACGAACAAAAAGTCTTGTGGGTAAAAGGACGGGACATAGTAGGACTCCGACTCGAGTCGTTTGCTACTATTTCTGCAGAGCCATTGCAGGTAAACTAGTTTCGCAACTAGGCCATTGCAAAGTTATATTTGAACGAATAATATTCAGAAGCAGTCTATGAGGTGAAAGAGATTTAAGGCCAATCGAACACGGCGTTGATACATCGAAAAACGTTCCAGTACAATTCGAATGTACTGGAAAATTCAAGCGATTTCCCCTGTGGTAAATAAAATGTAGAAAATGCTATAATTTATAAACTTAGAAAATGGTCAGCCACCGGTTAATAACGACCGAGTTCCAATATCTGCCTGAATCGATGAGGTCCAAGGTGCATGTTTACTATCAGGAATACCACGTGTACATGTACGTGTATAAACCCAACCACTGAGGCCAGAAAAAACTGACGAATGGAGGAGATAGGTGATTCGTAACAACAAGAAGAGAAAATAAAAACGCTAGACGAGCAGATACACTTTTTCGACGGTAATATGTGATTTACATTTAGCTGCCAAGCTCGATTATATCGTAACTAACGCGTAAGTGACGTCGTAACTAAGCTTAGTACTAAATTAACTACCGAAAAGTCCAGTAACGATCCGAAAAATATATTGATCATGTATACATGAAAAGACTTGATAGTGAGATGAAATATGGAATCCACATAAACGTAAATCCACATAATCACGTAATACTGCGTTACGATAAAACCGAAGCACAAAATGTTCATAATAGTAACAATAATAATAAAAAGCCTATCAGAATAAATGCTAGGTTATAAACAAATATGTATGATTTATCTTTTACTCTAGGACAAAACACAACATTGGTTGGTTTGTTCCTTCTCGTTGGATGTAGAAGATGGACTCACTCTTCTTGGGCTTTCTTTCCGAGAAGTATCTCCGTCCGAAGCCGAGGCTCTGGCTGCGCTGTTCTTCCGCATCTGATTGGACAATGCGTTGACCCAAATCGTCATTTCGTGGAAAACCAGGATTGGCAGTCAAAGGGCCATTTTTTCATTGTCGTTATAAACTTATTCGAGACAAAATTCCCTATTTCGTTGCCTACCACTTTAATGCTTATTTCAACTGCAAATCTAGGTCTGTTTTTTTCATTCTTTCATCAGGTTCTAAGGTTTCCGACACGAATCAAAAGAAAGTCAGTGATGTTAGTTGCATATCGTTATGGGTGTTAGGTGCACCAAAGGAAAACTTCACCGTGACCAAAGCGTTAGCTCATAGCACGTGGCAGAAGGTGCGCAAGCAGAAAAAAGTAGTCAGTCTAGCCCGTATGTTTGTCACACGTTCACGTACGCCTGCCAGAATTCGGCTTGACTAACCTTAAAAATGAAACCGCACCTAAATCTGGGCCAAAGGTCAACACAAACCCGGCATGAAGGACCTATCTGGCTTTTAGCAGAATCCGTCACTAAAGTCCATGTTTGGTTTTTTGTTCTGTATAGTTTACGTCGAGCTAAAGTCGGCTTACCTTTTAGCAATGGACAGGGGAGAGGGTTGACACGTATATTAAGGCGGCAGCCACATGTCGACTAGAACTCGGACGAAGATTAGATGAATATAAGCTTCTATTCATCTAATTCATTATATATTCACATAGACACGTGTTGAGGCTATACCATGTCGATTTAAAGACAGTGCATATAAGCTTATGGTTAATTACTAGGCCAAACAAACTATTTAGAAGGGAAAAGCTCTTCTGCGACGTCTGGGATTGGTACTATATACAACTGCTTGCAGTCTACTGCTTCGACCAACGTACACCTGGTCAAAGCGAGATAGTGGTTTTGAGAAAGGACATCACCTCGAGGGCGTATCCCAACGGGATGCTTTTTACGATCTCTGTGTGTTGATACGAGAAGTAAGCGATGAAATTTCTCCAGGGTAGCGGTATTTTCAGAATCAAGAAGGACATGTATCTAGAAACGTCTAGAGGCAGATAGAAAAACGCGTTTCAGTAGTAGCGCGGCGTAGGCAGCAGGAGCGATAGTGCAGGTGCTGGCCCCGAATGAGTCTGTGCAGTGTGAACCTACCCCTACAGTACAGATGTTTCCAGCATCATCAAATACCCTTCACCATTATTACTATTACCGCTGCTATTATTACCCGTCACCATCAGAAACAAAATCATTGATTGACCCGGTTTTTGTCCCTCAGTCAATCACAATATGATTATATAGAGCGCGACACCACCACCAAGGTAAAGGGAAGAGAACCAGAATTCTTCCATCGTATTTTACGCTGTGGTTCTCGTGGTGAGGTCGCGCTTACCTTCGGCGGCCATGCGGGCCGACAGGGACCTTCGGACGCTGCTCGATGGTGACCGATATACTGGATCTACAACGTAATTAAATTCAGATTTACTTTGTCTTAGAAATAAACACTTTTTATCAACATATCTATAAGATGCTTGGGTAGAAACGAGAGACCTTTGTCTAGGAAATTTTGTCGTTATAGTCGAAAAGTTCCACAGAAGGGGAAGTGATTACACCTAACGCCTAACTCTTACCACACACACTTATGAAAACGATTCGAAAAAATCCGTTGGAACAAAAATAAAGCCTTTTAGGGTATTTTGACTTAAAAAGCTAGTTAATAGATATAACTTTTTTAGAAAACCTAAATCGTCGTTTACTTCATTGTTCTAGATTGTTGTGGTACATTGTACCACCTGGTAAGCATTCTAATTCACGTGCAAGTTTTACTTGACAATGCCATGCACAATAAGTAAATCAGTCACGATATTGAAACCTTGTGCTTTCGTAATAAGCGACCATTACCTATACACCCGTCTTTGAAACCTCATGACCAGAGCACAGTGTGGTAAGATGATTTCCATGCATCTGTGTGCTTATGTATGTGTGCGCGCGCGTAATTTAAGCTGCTATACTAGTTCGGTATTTCTTAGTAAATGTCTACTTAGACGTGTACCTTCTTCTGAAACGGGCGATTGAATGGGCGATCTATGAGCGGCAGGCGGTACACCTGTTGGAGAACTTTTTACTGGTGTTGAAGATAAAGTAGCTGCGGGAACTGCTGCATGCGCAATAGGCTCTTGCAGAAGCGGGCGAAGACATTCAGGGATATCGTCTTCAATGGGCTCACCGCGCATTTTGCGTTCGATCAAGGCGCGATACTCCTCTAGTTCCTGTAAACGACAAACAAAATTCGATATATTTTATCGGCAGGTTTCATCTGATTAATTAGTGACGGGACATCCAGACGTTCTTAGAGAGATTCCTATAGAGATGATAAAACATCTGAACACAATTGTTTTAGCCAGTATAATAGCACAATATATATTATATAGACATGGAACACCGACTAGTCAATATATTTATATTTTGGAAGAGTATTGACCGTTACTCTAGCTATATGGCTTCAAAGTCACGTCGTGTCGGTCGCCGCTGGTACTATATAGCTAGCGTTAGTAGATGTGCTAGAGCTGCTGGTATGTCCTTATTCAGATTTTAGATAGCTGAGCAAAATTTGTTATAGTCTTCAATTTCATTACGGTAAAAGCAAAACGCTACTCAGGACCATTGAAACATTTGCTGTTCGTGGCCATGGCGAGAAAATAAAAAAAGGGAAAAATTTCTATGGCTTTCGTTCTAAAAACTTCGGTGTAAAAGGTACTTTCGTATTGATCGGCCAATTGTAAAAAAAAAAGTTAATAAAATAATTGCGAAGTTTGAGTAAGGCCGACACATGAGTAGTCATGACATCGTCAGAAAACCAGACATCTACCGCAAAGTAGTTACTGATTCAAGGTTGTAACTTGGCTACAAAGAAACTCGATGTTGCGCGAGTTTATACAGACGATCGTACTTTTATTTAGAGAATTCTACGGAAGCGCAACGAAATTAAGCCGTTTCTAAAGCGATTGATTTACGAAAATATGCTTCGTAATCTGTGGCAAAACCTAGACTGACGCCAAAGAAAGTGATATTAGGTAGGACCAAGAAGGAATTATGCACTTTGAGTTGCTGCCGCTGCCTGGTAAAACGATTGATTTGGGCCATTACTACTATCAGCAGTTAACAACAACATAACAATTGCCCATTGAAAACAATTGAGCGAAACTAGCAAATAAATGGATCGTCATCTTCCATCACGATACTGTCAATTCATAGACTTCTTTAACTGATCACAATAAAAATTAAGAAACTACGCATGAGAAGCTTCCCCTAGAATTCGGATTTTGCATCATACGATTGTAGTTCGTCACGGTCTCTGTGAAACTTTCTAATGATGTTAATTCAATTTTAATGGACAGATGTAGAAATAAAAATAAAAAATTAAAAAAAAATCTTAAATGAAAAAAAATGTGACAATTTTTCGTTAATAAAAAAGGGAAATTCTTTGCGGTTTTTGGAATATAGTGTTATCAGAAAAACGACAGAAGGCCATTGGTGAAAATTGCGCATATATAGTATATCTTTTGGTTAATGTATTATACAATAAAGGTAAAAAAGTGTCTGCAGCATAGCGATTCGGCTCCTTTATTACAAAACAAATGTTTACATTACATATCGAAGCCTCTGCACATTTCATTGAATTGACAAGATATTATATGAGCATGTGCGTACATTAAACAAATTTTTCGTTTATACATCTTCGTAATTATGTGTGTGTGTGTGTGTGTGTGTGTGTGTGTGTGTGTGTGTAATTAAATAGTTAGAAAAGTTACCTCATCTGTGATGCCGTCGAATGGATTCTTCTGGTAAACACTCTTGTATACCATTGCATTGTGCTGGAAGTCCCGTTGAATAATACCCTTTGAAGCAGCTCCTACTAATACCACGTTATCGCCACCAGATTGACGATTTATCGTATCCTAATTATTATAAAAGTTAGTTAGTGGATATTAAGAGAACTTTTGCTACACTTGCTGTTATCATCATCGAGACGAGAGATCGTCAGAAATCAATAGTCCTTTGTAAACCTAAATCTAGAACAAGTTGTCGTATTATTATTAGGGAAAGGTAATGTATCAATATCATCACGTACCTGCATCTGCCTGATTTCATCCCAGGTGTAGCCTTCAAGGATGTTTGACTGAGGCCCTGCCGTCACCTTAGAGTTAAGACGATTTGCCTTCATCTGGAGAGTATTACAGAAGACGACAGTCTAGCATCAATATCGTTGTAAATTATTTCTTCTATCTATGAAGCTACACATGCACATAACAAAGGAAACGGCCAGTTTTGCGAGAAACAAACGTCACTATCAATACAACCAAATCAATTAGCCGCTGATACAATTCGGTGGAAGTGATGAAAAAATGTGTGATTTCGAAGGTACACAATACACTTCGAAGCATGAGGAAAAACCACCGAACGCGGTCATGGCAAAGCACGTACCTCCTTCTGCTTCCTTTTGAATTCAGCGGGATCAGTGTTAGTTGGTACAAACTGGTGTGAGCCTCCTTCGATTTTGACTACGGTCTGTTGATTTGTTCCGCCGCCTTGTGCCTGGCCCTCTTGCACCCACTGAAAGCGAGCGACGTTGGATCAGGATATGTCATCGCTAACCATTTTTCAAGCAAACCCCTTCAGTAACCCCAAGAGCAGCAACAAACACCTTTGTCACCAGTATAAACAATAACAATAAGATCCACCATCATCTTTATAACAATACTGCGACGACATTAAGGATCATAACAGCCATACGAAGGCAGGAACGCGTACATAATGCTTTACGAGTGAGTGTGGTCGTATTGCGTCCTGTCACTTAGTTCTGCTGCGCAAATGGAAATTGCCAGGACTACATCTTTTTTTTCCTTTTTTTTTTGTTGTTGTTAGAAATACGTACCCCGATCTAATTCGAAATTAGCAACTCTGCATTCTCAAAAGCTTTGAATCCAACCAACAGCAGGACGGCAAACAGCCCGATATGAATGCACATGTACATTTATTACGACAGCAAGACCGTAGAAGGACTCTCTTTTTTTGAAGCAATTAAGAATGCAGTATCGGCACAAGGGATCATTTATAAGCGATAATGGACACATAAGAAGGAGCCCCTTAGCTTCTATACAAAATTCAAAGAAATGAAATATTTCCAAAGTACAATAAGCTGCTCGCGAGAACTGCAAAAGAATGCAGATTGCTTTTACAGCAACAGGAGATTAGTTTATATAACGAGGGACCGCTTTTCAGACGGCAGTATTTCTTGTAAGGTTCGGCGACCTCATTTCACGTCATCGAGCTATCGTCTGCAAGGGCAAGGGCAAGTTGTCTACGAGGACCATGATATTACGGCCTTGTTAGAAGCCAGACCCAGTTCCAACAGTTGACACACATGATTCTTCGTTTATCTATCGTTGTTATCGTAGAAAGCAGCCAGCTCGACGAAAATAATAGTTCCTGTCGTACTTCTAGCTATCGTAGACTTTTTGTCCAGAGTGAACTTGCCCACAGTTGCAGTGCGTAACAACACTGGAGCATAACCAAAGGCGTATAAACCGCTTATTAAGGCTTAACACGAACAAATGGCATTACTTAATAACACATAATCCGTTTTACTTGACACTAGCTTTTCGCGTGCATTATTTATACGCTTGAATTAGAGCTCAACGCTATAACTTAAAATGATGATGAAAGTAAACACCCAAATTCATCAAGTTATTTTACTTTATTAATTATAGCGAGCCTTATCGCATCTTCAGTGTTTGTTCTATTTCTACGCTTTCTATGGTACTCGTATCATACAAAAATGACATAATTTCAATTGATTAACTTATCATTCGTTATGTATGCACTGTATGATATTGTATTGATAATTTCATATTTATCAAGCAAATTGATGATTGGCTATCATCCCCTTAATGACTCAGAATGTTACGTAGCTAACATCTAAAATGATGAATTTAGTTGCTACGAATAAAGTTCCGTAGGTAGCGTTCATTGATTGCCCTCCGGGTCCTTGTTAGACGACAACACATTATCTTCTTCTCTGTATCATCGTGCTATAGATAGAGATATCGGTTTGCTTGTATGTATGAGGTGTCTGCACGGAAGCATTCATACTAACACAACTACCAGAATACGATTCTTCTTCCATCTTTTTCGCAACATTTGATTTCATCGGCTGTAAGCCCTAACAGCTGCCATTTCACTGTCAGCTGGAAACCAATAAAACTATCTTAAATATATTTCTAATTCAATAAGAATCTAAAAGTATTTACAAATATAAGCAATAGTATGTCTGTCTATATCAATACGGTATATGGAAAAGCTTTTATTAACAATACAAGAAGCTGAAGACAAACCTTCAACCAAAAGACTGCCGTAAATCTTAAAGCGACAATTCGATCGATAACGTTTCATCATGCAGAGGTTATAGTGTAGCGTGAGTGTGAAGGCTTCTGCAGCAGAAAAAACCGTGCTTTATAATTGATATGCTATGTGAAACTTGAAAGATATATTCAAAGGGAACATTTTAATTTATTATAGGGTTACTTCGACTGTTCGATATTTCACAATAGCAGTAATCATTATTTAGGCACACTAGCAAAAGTCACTTGCCCACTCTGGATATCCATATATA